TGGCATCTACATGGAGATGAGCCCCGCCTCCTCGCTAGCATGATTAGTTTGAGTGAAGCAAGTACAGTAAACACAAACGATGCCGTGGTCTAACTCAGGGGTTCCCAAACTTTTCAGCCCGCGACCCCCAAAATAACAGTACCAGAGACTGGCGACCCCCTGTCGACGGGGGGGGGGGTGAAAAAAAAGTTTGAGAAACACTGCGCTAGTGGATTGTCAAAGGGGGAGCCTCGTTGCGGGGAAATTATACAGATGGCTAGTCCGCCCCTGAAAAATGTCTATGCAAACGTTATTATTAATAATAATTACTACAAAAAAAATATTTAAAAAAAACATTTTTTTTTCATTTTTTTTTTGTAATCATCTCGTGAACCCCACTCGGGGTCTCGTGACCCCCACTTTGGGAACCCCTGCTTTAGAGAACCTTTAGGCTGTACAACAGATGGTCTTACTATGTCTGCTTTCCTCCTGACACACAGGACCTATTTACAAGGAGAGTAACATTCTTATCAGGTCAATCAGAAAATCTTTAGACAGTTTCATGGAGAATGGATGGTATTGTTCTTCCTTGAGAGACACTCTCCAACATTCTTTGGAATCTAATGATTAGTGCAAAAATGACGTGACCTTTTACTTGTAAAGGATACACAAAAGGAAAAAGAAGTTAACGATAAAGAAGAGACAGAGAAGGAAGAACAGGCTGACAATACTCTATTTCAAAAATGTATGAGTCTCCAGCCGATTGACTGTGTGTGTGATTGTGCGTGTGTCAGGTGTGAGGTTTTTATTGTTGATCACATTTCACACACTCAATGCTGATGACATTTACGCATGCGAGAGAGAAAGAGAAGCCTCTGTTTGACTTTTAATAAAGTTATGTCAGCTAGAGCTCAGAGTAAGAGTCACGAGTCCCCGAATGAGGCGGAGGAAGAGAAATAAACAGTCAAGGAAGGGAAGAGGGATGAGTTAGACGAGGAGAACAAGAGGAGGAACAAACGAGGAATGAGGAAAAGGAGTCAGATAAAGTGGAAAGGAAAGACAAGAAGACGTAAGAGAAGGGAAAGAGGCAGTTTAAGGAAGAGGAAAGGAAGCAAGGGGGGAAAACATATGCATTAAGAGTAGAGAAAAAAAGAAAAAAAAAGGAAGCAGTGCATTCAGATTAGTGCTGCGTAAAAAGTTTCGGTTCAAGTCCGGTTAAAACCGAAACGTCGGGAACCGGTACTTGGACTTGCAAAAAAACTAGCACTTACGTATATTCTCCTTTTTGTTCTAAACCATCTAAAACCTTCCATAGATCGAGAAATTTGCGCTGAGAAAAGACGAAAAACATCGTGTCGGCTTCTGATATGGCGGCAATTACTGAACTCACGAAGTCTCGCAAAATATCGCAACTGCTCGCGAGATCTGTGTGACGTCAAGGGAAGCTAGCGATGTGATTGGCTTAGACATAGTGGACAGCGTGGTCGAGTAGTAGTCACTACAGTGTATACTGTATAGTAGGTGTGTAACAGTGTAATGCGTATAGTCTACTCTACACTCTAGCTTTCAGCAAAGTTTTAGGGATTTAGGCTCAGTCAGCTCAGGGACTGTTTGGTTACTTTAGTTTGGTAAATGAAATAAATGTTTGAACTTTGTAGTAGTTCACTGTAGTTGCTGTCATAAGTCATTTGTAGACTAAGTGGCAAAAAGTTTTTTTTTTTACATTTGTACTTTGTAGAGAAATGTAGACACAAGTTGGAAGGGAGTTTGAATTTGAGTTGATTATTAGTTTATTTTCAATTGATAATTAGCTCACAATAAGTTCACTTTAGTTACTCACACAACTTGACACAAGCCATGGGTTCTGCCATGCCATGAACCTGAACCTCTGGACTTGAGTCCGGACCTGAACCTGAATGTGAGTCCAGGTACGCAGCACTAATTCAGATACACCAAGCAGATTTAGGAAGTCGTGCAATTGCATAGAAAGTCAATTGTAAAATATGACGCAAATTCAGGTCGTCTGATTCATCCTCACTAGTGGCGTTTCCATTTATTTGTCGAGTGAGTTTCAAGTGAAGTTTGAAACGTTGGAAAACAGATCCTCAAATATAACTCAGAGAATAGGCAGTATAGGCCTAACCTACAGTAAACAGAGGAGAACAAGTAGAGCATGAGTACCTGAAATAAGTCACGTTTGCCACCTTAGGTAATCAGTAATTAGTTTATCTGGATAATACTTCATTGTTCTTTGATGTCAGCTGGTATTTGCAATGTTTCATGATCTCCAGAGACAGTTTTATAATATGATTCTAATGCCCAAGGCAAGGCCCAAACAATTTATAAGAATATCCAATAATTGGCCAACAGAGAAATAAGGAAATAAGTCATCATGATTGTGACTTGATCAAATTCTGCAATTTTTTTTATGCAATTCTTCCGGAAAGCTTCATGGACCCACATTTGTCAGAGTGACTTTACTTTGGACATATTCAGTGGAATCATTTTGGAGGTCTAAAGAGGTCAAACTGTCTTGTATTTTACAAGGAAAGAAGCAGTAGAATTCCTTTAGGAGTTAATACAATGTTCTTAACCTGGAAACATTAAGAAACCGACCCTACAAATTGATCTTCTGGCCCCTCTGAGGGGTCCTGAACCCCAGGTTGAGAATAACTGACTAACATAATGAACAGTATTTATCGAGCTGTGGGAGGTGAATATTTAGTCACAAATTGCTGTTTACACCAGCTACACTGTAATGACAACTGTCGCTGACAAATGCACTGAGCTGCAGCTAATTAGCACTAATTCTGTAGGTCTGCCAAACTGCAAAAGTCTTGGCTGCCGTCTGAAAGATACGCTCTCTGTACGTCAGTGTCTGGACCACTTTGCTCAGCTAAATGTGCAATTGTTGAGGAAGAAACACCACTCGATAATTGGCAAAGTGTTTAAGGGAAGGGTAGGTGGTGTTTAAACGATAGAAATCTGGAGAACATATGGAATCTCCTTTGTTTTAATATCTGAAGAAAGAAATGTTCCATTGACATTTTGACACAGTAGGAAAGTAAAAGATTCCAGAGAGCCATGGTTAATGTTATTAATAACTATGTGCTTTTCGAACTATGACAAGTCAAAATCTTTAAGGGATTATTATTATTATAAGGGAGCATTAAGGGAACGACGGTAGAGGAGGAACCAGGAACAGGAGAAATATAACTAAACATTCAAAACTGGTAAGAGGGGAGATGAAAGAGTAGGCAAGTGACATCCATCCATCCATCCATCACTCTGCAACATTTACTCTGAAGCTATTATGCACAAGGCTAGACTACACCACAGTCTCTAAGCATCACATCACCACCGCTGAGCTAAAGGCGGCTAGCATTTGAAGACATGGCGTTTAGACGTCCTTTTTAAATCAGACAAAAGCTTGTGACATTAGCCAGTGGGAGGAAGCATTTTATATTGTAGAAAAAATAAAATAAAACTCTCTAAATCTTTT